ACATCGCCTTGGCAGCTCCTGACTATTCTATCCATGTACAACATAAACAGGATAGGGGAGAGGAGGCAGCCTTGGCGGAGACCAGTGCGAACGTTGAATGGTTTCGACTTAATGCCATTAACTCTGACACAGCACCTGCTATCAGAATACAGTGATTGGATGGCCCTTAGCAACTTGCTATCAATCCCGTTTGCACGAAGGCTTGATCCGTTTTAAGGACTTATTTTAAAATTTACTCTTTACGCGTTGATGCATCGTAACTATCATGTGGGTGAAGGCGAACTGCAAATCTAATAAACAGCGTGATAATCCATCTCACGTGCTCTTGCACGGCTAAACCAGAACACTGTGCTCGTTATGGCTATTAGCAACGTGCCACCCGTTTCCCGATCATCTGCAGCGAAAGACAGCGAGGGAATTAGCGGTGTAAACTTGCAAGGGATATGAAATGCATGACTGTTGACTGCATGAGCAGCTTCAGTCGACAGACTGTTTGTTTACAGTACGGCAACGGCGTCAACGTACGTTGATGTGTTTAGTGTAATGCGATGACATTCGGTTGTAAAGCTGCGTCCGGTTGTAAAGCTGTATATGCCAACACATTCGTCTTAGACGAACGAAGAATCGAACGTGGGACCTGAAGAAAGGGGCGAAGTGGTTCAGTACATTGGCTGGCGAAAACTTTTTCAGGGCTTCATGCGTGTGCGCGTGCAAAACGATCAAAAGTTCGACTTGCAGTCAGTCTCAATGACTGCTTATCCTTTCGGTCGTCGAAGCAATAAAAAACTACACTGGAATTAAAACTTAAAATAACACATCCGCAGGCTAATCGTTTCCATGGTTCACGACTAAAAACAGCAACCTGAGCAAAGGCACACGCGGCTTTCGGCCGAGTGCCAAAGTTCACAGTCATCTTAGTCACCGTAGCTGAACTGAGCCGAACGGAAACCCGATAGCTGGCTGGTCTGTGTCGATAGAACACCTCATAAATCATGACCAGTGAGTTCCGCTTTCAGCCTTTTTTCATGCTTGTGCGTGTCGAGCTGATCGGTGCTTATCGGCCACAGAAAGAATATCCACCAGTCATTTTGCGGTTATTGATTCAATCACATTATGTCATGAAGTGCGTTTTTCTTCGTTACGGAAAGCGAGGAGCGAAAGAGGTTTAATAAGCGTCCTTAATCTGCGGTATAACCCGATTTAACGACGTTAATAGCACTACCTACAGCTGCACTGTTGTAAAATCAACTCTCGTTGACTGTAAGTGATAAAATGTACAGAATTCTTAATGCATTCGGATAGTTCCGCATTATTATGTGTCAAGAGACTTAGCATGCCCATACTTTACGCAACTCAGTAATGCGGTCTTGCATCTCTGCACTGATGATGCATAAACATCATGCAACCGTGATCTGCTAAAAGGTCCTTGATACAGGTTGGAACAGCGGATGGTCTAACAGATCTAATTATTGCAATCATTCTTTACAGAACTTGTGTAGACCAGCTGCAATTAGTCATTGATTATAAAATTACAGAGTTTAAATTATGATATGACGATGAATACAGATCGAGACTTTTCAAAGAGTGATTACGCAGCAATGCAATTTCCCAGGAACAATGCGTTGCCATATAACTCCTAATACAGACCCTTGTCTAAAGCGATTTTGGGCAAAAAAATAGTCTACTTGATTTGAATGATAAATTATAAAGATTTCCATTTTCTCTTAGCACTGGCTTAGCACAAGGAGACAAATCAGCCGGCACATGCATTGATCTCGACTAAACAGTAACAAAATCAAGAGATGGGGAAAACAAAGCAGTGTTCTAGAGCAAAATCTGGTCTGTAGCATCACCAGGGGTCAGATTTTATTGGACTTCTGAGGTCTGGAGGCACAGCAAGAAGCAACTTCTGTGGCTCGATCCAGCGCAAGGGCTTGAAGGCAGTCTTCGCACAGAAACAATGGCGGAAGAAAAGTTGCGAAATCAATCAAATCACATGGTTCAGCCTCGCTTCGCCTTTTTGGGATATTAGCGAGTTACACCTGCACCATTTGACTCATTATATCGAAACGGAGATGTAATTTTAAAAAATCCCGTCCATAAACGGGTTATGAAAACACACACATGTTTAAGAATAGTACCGAAGATGTACTGCTGCCATTAAATTACTTTCATGCTCGATCTTTAAGAAAGTTTGCATTTAAAGCTTTGATAACAATGTATCATTGAACCTCGTAATTTATCCCTTGGTCAAAAAATAGACTTTTAGATACAATGAACATGGATTCAAAAAAATTTTTACAAATTTTG